ATAGACCCTGACTCTGATAACTGCTGGTTAGCAGACATAGCTGGCCCACTCACACTTAGACAAGGAAAGCTTTGTAATGTTTCATTGTCCTGACTCTTCTGAGCCCTTCTCACCTGGGCACTAACCCTTCATCCTCCTTCTGAAATGCCCAGTCACCTCTGTACAAAGTTGAGTTCATTCCCCCTGAACACTTCCCTGTTGCAACAGTTAATACCAATTAAAATCTGTCCTTTAGTTTAATTAGCATCCAGCTTTGTTTATCTTTGGCAATAGGCTCCTGCTCACAGGCCAGGGCACATGTTTGATCACCCTCCCTTACTGCAGAGGAAACAAGGCCTCAGAGGAGAGGGAACCGGCCCAGACCATGGGGCAAGGAAGGACACGTGGGGACTGGAACGGCATAGTTCTGTCTTTAAATCTAGCATTCCTCCTTCTACCTGACTGCTGAGCAAATACCCAGGCCCTAACAGATAAGTCAGATCTCAGTGTACCGTCAACACTCTCCACATCAAACACTCAAGATCTGTACGGAGAACTTTTCTATGCACGGGGCTCTTGGTTCAGATGAGGCAGACACCAGAGTGAGAAAGTAACAAGCTGATGATTTCAACAAGCACTCTCAGGTTAACACGGAAACATGGTGGAAAATCTTAGTCTTCATTTGCTGATGCTTATAAATTTTCATATCACTCCACCGAGAACACTTACTTATTTATGACCCTCTTAAAGAAAATTATCTCCCTCAACAAGAGATTTATAATGGGTCAAAATCCTATTCAATTCCAGTGATCAGTTTCACATCTGTAAGGAGGGTGAAATGTACAATGTCTGGGGATGCTAATGTTTTATGTTGCCATTACATTTATTTTTTTTAAATTTGTTTTTTATTAGATCATAATTGTGTACATTAATTCTCTCATAGGATACAGTGTGTTACTTCTATATGCAGTTTGGAAAACTCTCATCCAAGTGGCTAACATAGCCATCATGTCTTTCTCATAATTGTTGTGTTAAGACATTTATATTCAACCTTTAGACAAATTCACATGTACCCAAATAGGATAAATTATAGGCATGATCCCCACAATATCATTCTCTTCACCCATCTTCCCCCTCCCCTCCCCCTCCCTCCCCTTTCCCCGTAGTCTAGGGCTCCTTTGGATTGTAGCATTCCTAAGATAGCTAACAATTAGTTTCATAATAGTGTTGAGTACATTGGATACTTTTTCTTCCATTCTTGAGACACTTTGCTAAGGAGGACATTTTTCAGCTCCATCCATGTAAACATGAAGGAGGCAAGGTCTCCATCTTCCTTTGTGGCTGTATAGTATTCCATGGTGTACATATACCACAATTTATTGATCCATTCATGGGTTGATGGGCACTGGGTTGCCATTACATTTAATTTCCTAATATTCTTTGCTCTCAAACATGAATAATAACTCCCATCTATTTTCAGCTTGTATAAAGTTCTATTTAAAAAATTTTTTTAACATAGAGTAAAAGAGGCATGATATGGTGATCTACAAAGGATAACGTTCAAACGTAAGAGAGCGTGCTGAATTTGCCAAGGACGATGTCTCCAAGCTGTCGTGTGGGATGGTGGCAGGTGGTTCACTCACCTGAGACAACTTCATCTGCATGTGGGCGAACACGTGAAGAAAACCCACCACCGCGTCCCACAGTCTGCTGTGGGCCAGGCTTTGCTGGTTCCCGGTGCAAGGACCCTGGAGCATAAATAGATATAATCGTTCTAAATAACTGATTTGCCCAAATAAACTTTATAGTAACAAGAACAAAACTAACTTAGTGTTTACATATCTTACTGTCGGGAGCTTATCTAAAAAAAAGTAGATGAAAGAGCTACCCTGATGATAAGAGTATTCTTAAGAGATAAGCAGGTTCCTTGAAACGTTCGATAAATCCCCAGAAAACATGTCTCAGAGATTTTTAGAATCCTTTTGTTTTTGTCTGGCTTTGATCTATTGGGAAGAAAAGAGTAAGGTGCACGTGTTTAGGCCGTGAAGCCAAATCAGTTAGTAGCCACCAGCTTGTCTTGAAAACAATTTTGACAACATGCTTAGGATGAGAAGTGATTTACTCATGACTCCCAAATCATGACCCACATAAAGCACCCACATAAAGAAAAACAATCCTCTCCAACGTTTTCTTAATTGTACAACTGTTCTGCAAATGGTACAAACCACCAAGATTTTTAAAAGAACACTATTTGGTTATTGATTTCATGAATGCAGAATCCAAAGCAACTGGAGTCTGTTAAAATAATTAACTGGAAGGCCCCTTGGCTGAGATGGCTCCATGCACGGGGCTCCTCCCCACGCAGACCCAAACTCAATGTAAACTTAAGCTTAACCAATCAGAAGCCACCAATTAACTTCTGCACAGAGTCCTTACCAGTTAGAAACTTAAAATTAGGGCTTTCCATTTTAACCAATCAAATCTTTTTCTTTCCTTTTTTTTTTTTTTTTTTTTTGGTCACATTTCCATGAATGCCTTACAAAACTCCTGCTCCCTGCCCCATGGTGGAGAGCAAACCACCACTCTGTCCTGCCAAATTTGCGAATAGTTGAATGTTCCAATAAACTCGTTAAAATTTTAACATGCCTAAAGTTTATCTTTTAACAAACTTTGCTCTCTTAGCTTACGCTTCTGAGGTGACCCTGTTCTGAAATTCACAGAATATACTTTCCAGGATGTGCTCAACCTTAGCCATCAGCTTCTGAGAACTGTAAGCTAATCTCAAGGGCACACCAGCCTGGCTTATTGCCTCACTTTCCTGCTTCTCGCGGTGTGTGTGTGAAGGATGGTCTCACTTCCAGATCAACCTTGTGCTGGAACAGATAAAGCTTTCTCATTTCTCACAAATTACCTCCTGGTCTTCCTCTACCAATCTTGGCCACAGAACATCTTCTTACTCAAACAATTCCTCTTCCTCCCTCCTTATTAAAATTGGCATTTCAGTCTTACAGGTGATTGCCTTTATTTCAATGGCTTTGGATCTCTCCCTTATATAATTCTCTATAGTTAGCAAAAACTTGAAACAAAACAAAACATATATTGCTACAATCTAAAAGGCAGTCCAAAGCAAGCATGAAGTTAATGATAAACTTTTACTCATCGTATCAAAGTTTATTAGTCAATATGATGCTAAGACAAACTTCTCTAAAATATACTTCACTAAATGCAATGAGGTAAATTGGATTGGATCCTGAAATATAAAAACACATTAGTGGAAAATTGCTAAGATCAGAATAAAGCCTGTAATTTAGTAACTAGGCTGTGTCAATGTTAATATCTTATTTTTCACAAATGTATCATGGTTATATAAAATGTCTACATTAGGGAAAGCGGAGTGAGTCATATATAGAAACCTTGGGCACCAACTTTGCTACTTTTGGAATATCCAAAATTGTTCCAAAATAGAATATGTATTTATTAAAATATATACCATAAAAATAATTGTTTATAAGTGCCATCGACCCATGAATGGATCAATAAATTGTGGTATATGTACACCATGAAATACTATGCAGCCATAAAGAAAGATGGAGATTTTACCTCCTTCATGTTTACATGGATGGAGCTGGGGAATATTCTTCTTAGCAAAGTATCTCAAGAATGGAAGAAAAAGTATCCAATGTACTCAACTCTATTATAAAACTAATTTATAGCTTTCATAGGAAAGCTATAACCCAATTTTAGCCCAAGAATATGGGGAAAGGGGAGAGGGAAGGGAGAGGAGGGGGGAGGATGGATGGAGGGAGGACATTTGGGATTATGTCTATGGTTTATGCTATTGGGGTACATGTGA